TCATGCTCTCGGCTCCAAAGACACAGCAGAGTGACTCCCTTTTTAGAATGAAAGCAAGTGATTCACTCGGATTATTACGAACTTGGTCCTGGGAATAGCATGTGCTTTGTCCACAATAAATGGCGACAGGAATTACAAATGCTCACTGCTGAGTTTTACCTATAGACACAATTTGCTGTTCATATAAAACTCTTCCAAGTGAGTAAAACTGGAGTACGTTTTTCTTAGGTAATTCTATTTTAATCATTTTCTTTTACCTGTAATTTGGCAAGACGAAAGGAGGAGTGATTTTAGAACATAAGGAATAAAATGACTTTCCTCCACAACAAAACCAGGGCTAATTTCTGGGGGGTAGAGTGCTGAGTGGCCTTGCAAGGAACACAGTCAGTTTACCTAATAACTGAATGTGTCTGATACTCTCTGGGGAAATGAGTTAATTACTATATAGGCTGCGGTATTTGAAAAAAATCAAAATGTCTGTGTAACTTGAGAATCGCTTTAGAGTGTTCAGGCTTCTTAAAAGTTCTGGTGAGCTGTTCTTCAATGGCCAATGGGTGAAGAGGACTGTGTCAAATGCCCCGTTTCCTTTGCTAGGTCCCAAGCTGTTTACAACTTCCTGCGACAAAGAAGCCACAGTTGACTTCACTGATATTTATGGCTGGATAATGGGGATCAGATGTCCCTTTTGAAAAACAGGATAGAAGGAGAGATGTTATTAAGGACAGATCTCTCTCTCTCTGTCCTCTAACTCACCACTTCTCAAGATGCCCCACCACGTCTTCTTCAGCGTCTGGAGCAAACCAAAATATTCGCTCGGTATTTTTCGTCAAATCATGAAAATGCATCAGTTGATTATAGCCTTAGGCTACAAAATAGCCTATAGTTGGTTATAGCCTTAGGCTATAAAACAGGACACTATTTGAATGATAAAGTATCGTTTTGGGGGGAAGACCTCCAAAACTATTGGAGAAGCAGCTTCTTGCCAACTGTCCCCACTGAGCAACACAGTGGGGACAATTTTTGGTTGTTCCGCTGAAGTCACGAGACTGTCATCTCGCATTATGTGAAAACTCTGCCTCTGGAGCTAAAGCTTTAAGATGGAGTGAAAATCATACGACAAATGCAAGTTGCTGTGTAACTCAGCTCATGGGCCAACAAGACGCACCTGAGGCCCAGGACCTGTGTAGTCTTGGGTTGACTCTGTCCTGCAGATGAAAAACGTAAGGATGTGATATCTAAAAGGTTTCTTTCTACTCTAAAACCCTATACTTTTAAATGTCTTTCGAATCATTAGAAGGTAAAGTTTAAACTAAAACCCTTCTGAGCGTTAGTGCAGTTCTGGCTAGCACAGGAAAAAGACCGAAGCGCTGTGCTGTGACCTTGACTTGTCGGCAGAGCTACAAAATGAGTTTCATGTGGGCAAAGATGGGGTTGTGGAGAGTCACTTGTAATTTAACAGGCCAAGGTTTCAACTGATTCTCAGAGACCCCGAAAGAAGGGTAAGTTTGTGCCAAGAACCCAATCTCCTGCCTCAGTGCTCATCCGGGGAGCTGGCTGAATACGCTCCCCGCTCCTGCAGGGCACCCTCTTCCTTAAACACCATCAGACGGAGCCGGAGTTTAATGCGCTCCTCATTCCGTCTTCCTAGGTTTCCCCCCTACCCCCTTTCTCTCCCCTTATGGAATAGTGGAAAGAACATGAGTTATGGACTCACAGGGACATGGGTTCCAATCCCAGCTCTTCCACTTAACCGGTGGGCTAACTCTGGGGGAAGTTACGTAACTACGATGTGTCTCAGTGTCTCCATCTGCTAAGTGGGAATAAGGACGGCCTTCTCATGGGCGTTCTTAGAAAGGTCAAATGCGAGTGTATGTCAATCTCCCGGCCTCTGCAGAGGAGCTGCCTGGTCTCTTTTGCTTCCTTTTCTACTTCACCACTTCTTTCTTGAGCTAAACCATTCCCTACCCAGGCAGTGCTTTCTTTGATTCCATGCTTTTGCTGTTCTTTTCAGGCGACTCCTGTCTCATCGTCTCCACATGCTCAAATCTCGTCCATCCTCCAGGAAGTGCCCCTTGAGACCCTTTCCCTCATCTGGCATTTTTTTGATCTATGTGATCCATATCCTGTGATATGTTTCTGTACCATTTCATAATTACTTCTCTGTCTTCTCTTCCCTACTAGTCTACGTCTACAGCCTCCAGCCCACACTATATCTGAGCGATGGCAAATATCTGTTCAATGAACAAACATGTGAACACAGGACCAAAGGGTAGCTTCTAACGTGCTTGCTTTAGCCACTGCTCTAAATGAAAACATCGATCAGAGAGGAAAACAGCCCAAATCGGAATGTGAGATGCGCTCTGTGGGGTGAGAAAAAGCATCTGCCTCTGCAGGAGCTGGAGTAGTTATGTGAAAAAAGCAGCACAAGGAGGAAAAGCGACAGAAGCCTGGGTCCGGGACAGCGGCTCCAAGCCTCAGCCTGGACACAGTGCCAACCTTCAGAGACGGAGACCGTCCTGTGCGTCGAATCAGACTTTTGGGATAAAAGAAATCGGATGATGAACGCTGAATGTTTGGTGGCTGCCATGAGACATGAAAAAAGGGAAGAATGAACAAAGAAATTACCTCTATTTAGAACACTATCCAAACAAACAAACAAAAAAAAACCTTTGAGAAAACTAATTTGATAGTAACACCAAGAGTCATTGCTTCGGTTGGTGTGTGTGTGTGTGTGTGTGTGTGTGTGTGTGTACGCGCACATGCGTGCTGAGGCCCAGGTTTAAAAGCACATTAACTGGTCTTCAAGTTACAGTATATTTACCTATGTTCCAAGCCCCCACTCCGACCTTCCCGTGATTCTGTTCCATTTATTTTGGCTCAGACATTCCATATGAAGAGTAAGGAGCCAGTGAAGCCACTGAGAGATGTTCTTTTAAAAATCTGTTGTTACAAACACCCGGTGAGTTCTTAAATATCAATAATGTGGAAAACTCAGTGGCATTGCTGAAAGACTCTTAAAACATTTTCATTTTGCTATGGTAACTGCACTAAAGTGACACCCAGTGAAAGGTCTGGAAATCTTGGCTCAAGATGTGTGATCTGTAGACACACCCTCAAGAGAGCACAAGACTTATTCCCTTATTCAAAAACTGACTCCTCTTTAGATCCCACCACGTCAGCACGTACCCCACTTGGGTAAACTGGAATGTCTTCCCTCAGAGGTGCATCACACCCCTCACTGCTGCCTTCCCAAGGTGAATGAGCTGCGGGCTGACCTGACCTCCCAAACGGTAAAGGCTGGCTTTAGAAGAGCTCTGGAATTCTCTGGAAACCTTCACTAAGGAAGAAAAAACAATAGCTCCTCTTGGCCAGAATGAGTGGAAGTATTTCACTAGCTGTTTTCATAAGCTTATCCAGAGAGTTCCATCAAGATGTGATCAAGAGTGTTGATGTGATCAAGATTTTTTTTTTCATCATTTTAGTGACACCATCTGCAAATTCAAGCAATCCTTCCTTAAAGAGAAAAGACCGCATTCCGTGCGGCCTGGCGTCATTAGCATTCCTCTCTTTGTCTCCCGAAAGATTTCATAGGGGATGAAGTAAACGAAACAGTGATTATTCAAAAGACCAAAAGCAGCACCGTAGGGACAGTGTGAGCCACTGGCTACTTGGGTGGTTTCTGGGCAGCACCCCCAAATATATTGTGAATTTTACATTCTTATGATAAAAGTGACAATAAGCACTCTCTCTCATGTTCTAGTATTTTACAAAGTTAACCCATTTCCAAAGCATCCATGGTTTCTCAGAAATCCCAGAATCTGGCACCCACGGGCGATGTTCCAGTGTGTGCCTGCTGGTCGCTGAACTGGAAGGTTATGTACACATGCTCAAGTTGAAGCTGTATGTTGAAAAAGAAACCAAAGCCAGCCTGATATTGGTGGGTAAATTCCTTTTCAGTTTGTCTTATCTTCACTCAACTATTCTGAGAAAAGTAGATTTTTTTTTTTTCTGCTTAAAGCTACTACTGGGTTATATACATTGCTAATGGTAGATCAAGAATAAATGAGACCACACTCTAGAGTCTGGCCGCCAAAATAAATCCGGTCCATTCTTTACGCTGAGACACCAAGTAGAATACAGTCAAACTCCAGTTTTTCCAAGGGAATCACTAAGTTAGCTAAACAGAGAGCCTGTGGGCTGTGGGATCTAGTCTGATTATTGCTTTGAAAAATACTTCACAGCCCAGGTAAAAACCTGGGGGCATCTGAACAGGATACAAATTATGATAATGACCTTACAACTGTGTACTGTTCTTCGCTTCTGAAACAGATCAAATGCTGTCATCTGGAGGTGTTCAGAGAATGGGTAAGACCAGGAGACGCTTTTAGAAATGAGAGAGAAATGGGGTCGATCCTTTTTGCCCTGGTGCTCAACATTCTAGGATAGTTACTAAAACATCTTGATGCTGAGTTAAGTTCTAAAACTAACCAGGATGCTTGCTCACACTGACATGTCTGGGCTCAATCATTATTTTCCCCAAAGGTTTTATCTGATAAACCATCAGCTTTTGAAGATGGCGGCTACTTGGTGAATTTGGATTTGCGAGGGCAGTAAAACGTACCAACAGCTGGGCACTGGAGTGGTACATTATGAACCAAGTGCAAAAAAGTCTGGCGAGGAGGCCACCGGATGTTGGACCTAGGACCTCATGAATCATTTTTTCTCATCTGTAGGGCTTGACGTTTCCCCTGAATGCTTTCCTAAGAATCCGACTAGTGAGGCAAGGCTTACTTTGTTCAACACAAGCAAATGAAACAAAAACCACAATCAATTTAAGGTAGGAGGGAATTTCCTTCCCTGGCCAAATGACCTTTCAACTTGGTCTCCTATAGAGAAAAGTCATAGAAAAAATGTCACCCGAATTCCAGCCCCAAGAATGTCACTGTGAAACGTATGGCCTGCAAATACACCTGCCATCACGGCTGTAATTATTTCCTTACCCGCAGCTTCTCCTCCGTCTTGGTAGACTGCTTACAGTCGGGATGCCAAACGGTAGAACCTGTGAAGACACAGCACACGGCTGAGGGCAAGGGAAATGGAACGAAGCCACAGTGGTCTCAGAACTTCCGAGAGTGGTTTATATCCCTCTCCCCAGCACGGGCATGTATGGGCGCTGTGCCCAAGTGAGCCGTGACCGCTCCAGATTCCCAGTGTCTCCCTCGTCTAGTCTGAGCTCATTCTGTAAAGGTCATAATTCCAGACCGGAGACCACTGACTGGGCACAAGAGTGTTTTGTGCTTCCCATTAGCTGGGTTTAATTTCAGAAATATAAGCCATCGGCCATGTTTACATAACATCAAAACAACCAAGCAATTCAGGTGAGAAAAGTAATGTCAAACCAGATAGTCTACATTCAGAAGCAAAACTCAATGAATTTTTTTTAATCCAATTACACATAGTCACCTACACAGATATGGGCAATCAGGCCAACTAATAGAAAGGTTGGAAGTTACATGACAAATCCAACCTTTTAATTAACTAAAAGAAGTCTTCACTTTTACACTCATGAAGCTACTACGTAAGTGTCATGTTCTGTTCCTGAGTCAATGCCTCATTTTCTCAGAGTATGAAGCACTTCCACGGATGGTACGAATATATCAGATCTAAGCAAAACACCTTCCTCCAGTAGGAAGCTCTCATCTTGTGAGAATCCAAGCCAGCCTATGTGATTTTGTATGCCTAAATATGTGTCCTTTATACAAGTATGGATAAGACCTAGATGTAAGTCCTATGTTCACATAAGGGTATGTCCGAATGTGGCGATGGGCAGGAGAACTAGAAGAAGTACTTGAAAAGACTAAGCAAATAAAGTTACCAAGTGGAAAACAGTGAGTAAATGACATGAATTTAATAAAAGTCTCAGTATGACTATTAGGCTTTCTACATTTTATTGTCGAAATCTTTAACTCTCCAAGCAGCAATCTGCGTGTGCTTGAAAAGACAATAAATCAAAATAATTCTTGAATTCTTTTATACCACTGAATTAAAATCATATTAAATTAATGACAAGGAAAATACATTTCATATCGGATACTTTAATCCCTATTTAACAATCATTTCTATCTTGCTTAACCCTGAGCCAAAAAAAAAAAAAAGAAAATCAAACAAACAAAAATCAGACAGACACACAATCCCATCAGCACTAACGTTTACTCTGAGGCTGGCTACAAATCACAGGAAATGATCTCAGCGCAGAGCCAAGGCCCTCGGGGTCGGGCCCAGGAGCAGCGTTCGCTGCAAAGCTTCTACTGAGTGGGAGTCCTTGGCCAGGACACCGGGTTTGCACACAGTGTCACACTGTTCTCCAGGGGTCAGGCACACAAGGAATGTGTCACAGAGAAGTTAGATGCCGAGGAAGATGAAACTGCTCATTCTTCAAGGATGTGCCCGAGAGGGCAAGCAAAGAGTACTGAAACCCAAGAAAAGGCGTACAGTAATCCCTGGGAGTCTGGACGTGGCCCACTTGGACAGACAGCTGGTTACCTGCAGTGGGAATGTACTGCATTCGTGCACAGCCGGAAATCACTCTATTGAGGTGAAGGTGCAGAGCTGCACCCAGAGCCTGAGTCGCAGTTCCTAGCAGACGCAGGGTTGACAGGCACTCTTGTGTCTTTGAGTGCTGTAATTGACACACTAAAATCTCAAACAAAGCCTGGAAACCAAATGAAGAATAAATCTGCTCCATTCTGAAAATGCAAAGTGACATCTGCCTATTGCTACTGCAAATTTACAGCTTGTCCTCAGGGAACCGTGTCACGAGGCCACAGATTCGGGTTCTTGTCACTTGTCTTTATTGGACCTTGCAGAATTCAGTGATTTTTTTTTTTTAATCATAATTTTTGAAAGGGATCATTCTACAGCTAAAAGGATGTTTGGGTGGTTAATTTCTCATATATCTAGTGTGTTTCAGGGGAGAGTGGCTGAAGCTTTTGCTTTAATATTCCAGGGTAATTTCTGTAGATGTTTCTTGGTTGCATAAAAAAACTGACAGCAAAACCAACCATTCATTAAAAATACACATAGTGTTATGTGCAGAGAGAAAGGGAGAAATGACATGCGAAGGAGATGAGACCCAGTAATTACCAAAGTTGAATGAGCAACAGCTCTTACAGCTCCTGCTAATTTTACTGATAAGCCCTTGTCTATTTAATGATGCTTTCACGGCTAAAAATAGTAAATGCTTGCACAGATGGTACTGTTTGACTGGAAAAGAATCTTTCCCGCCTCTCCGGGAAGCTTCAGAATTTTAGAGGAGACAAAAACTAGTCAGAGTTGTACACTGGGAAAATTTCTCAAGATTATTTTCAATTAAAAAAAAAATCTAATGGCTCCTTGGTAATGCCACTAGAAACTTCTCTATTTCTCTTACAGGGACTTTGGGCGTGCTCTAATTCTCTTTCAAAATGAGAGCTATGTCATCTTACTGAGATGAAATATATCTGTGATGCAATGCACTAACTATGAGACTTTCTTTTTCCTGAAAGCCTGGTTAAGAGCAAGAGAGTGAAAGGGGGAAAGACCAAGCAGCTATCCAATGAGCAGCATTCCCTGCGATATGTTATTTCCCCAGCACATTCATGGAAAGGGTGGGAGGAGATGTTCCTCATCTTCCTCTTGCCTTCGGTCCAAAGCATCAAATATCCAGTCCTATTCAACATTCCAGCAGCAACGCTTTCATTTGCTAACAGCCTTGGGGGCTCACTGCCAGCAAGTCAATTGCTTGGCTGATTAAAACTAGCTGATGAGGTAACTTCTGGCCACATTCATTTTGGATCCGAGTAGCCTTGCAGCTAATGAAATGCCTCCTTCTCTATAACAGATAAACAAGCAAACAGAGCAAGGTTTCCTTTCCCCAGGTGGAGAGAACTGATTGGGTTCTTGAGTCCATCTTACCTTGAAGATACATTTCCTCTCCTTCTGTGAACATCTGGTTGCATCTGCTGCATCGTGCACAGCTGGGGTGGTAATGTTTGTCACCTGCCTGCAAGAAAGAGATAGGGAACATTTAGTCTACTCTGGTCATGCCTCCAGCCTCTTTTCTGGACTTAGGATTTGGAGAGAAAAAGAAGCCAAGGCAGGAAAAATAATTGCCCAATTACCCAAACTTCCTATACCAACAGCCCTAGAAGCTGAAGCCAACACCACTGGAATTGGGAAGGGTCTCGAAGACCAGCTACTGATGCCTGTTATGAAGGGGCCGCCTTGCCTCTTATGGTTTCTGCCTTTCATTTCTCTCTTGGCTTGTGTTCTCCTGGATCGTAACACACCACATGCCTGAGATGAGTCTGCTCCATCTCCCTCCCCTCCGCGCCGCACCCCCCCACCCCAAAAAAAACCCATCTCAAAAAACATTAACCTATGAACTGATGTTGGAGGCTAACAATGGTTTGTAGTAAAGCAATAAAATGAAAGGATCCTATTAGCAGGTTCTTGTTTTCTTAGCTAAACAGTCTGAAAACAATCAAATCTACCTTATTTACATCAAGATGAGAAAAACCACAGTAAAATATATCATCTACTGCTTTATCTCAAAAGGAGCCCAAATTCTCTTCTATGCTGCTTACAATGATCTTTGGCCAAAGTTTTATATTAATTGTTTTCTACAGAAGGCATTTTACTGAGGTGGCTCTGCATTATCCATGGGCATTCATTCTATGTTCCTAAATATGACAGATGCCATCGCAGCAGGTGTTGACTTTCCCAAAGCAAAATGTCACTGGTCACAGGGATGATTCTCTAGACAGGTGCCAAGTCACATTAGATTCATGCTCCAAATACATGCCTGACAAAATGAAATATTTTTGTTGATAACTCAGCAAAAAAATCTTACCACCTAAACATTCTCATATGTACTCTGTAATTAAATCATTTTATCAATCGATTGTGAAAACATTTATTTTGTAATAACCATATTTAAGGCAGTGCAGAGAGCCTAGAATTAGAAGTGGGTGTACCCTGAGCCTACAAGAAAGCTCACCAGGAAATCAGAGGGCAGGCAGTGATTCCTTTCTCACACCCTCCTGTAGAAACTACAAATCTCACACCCTCCTGTAGAAACTACAAAAGCCACTTAGCAACCAGAGTGTGAGATGATGCTCGGCTACTCAAGATAATCAAGTGGAAAAAAACCTGAAGTCATTTAAAAGCCAGGAATACAATCTTTTCAGTGGTATCTGCCAGAAGATTCCAGAAGTGGTGCTCTTGTTCTTGTCTGCATGGTATGTTTATTCCCTCCCCCCACCCTCCCCCCACTTTTGGGAGGCAGTGGGTGAGGGGAGCATAGGGAATGTCAACAACACAAAGTAGCTCCCTCCCTTAGGCCATCCAAGGTTCGATCTGAGTAAAAGGAGGCAGAGAAAAGATATTACTAAGTTCTAAACCATGTTGGCTCAGCTGGGATGGCAATGCTGGGAGGTTCCAGTCAAGACAATCTCTTGATTCTCAAGGAAAATGTAAGAGAAATAATTAAGGCTTCTTGATAGAAAGCTGGTGTAGTCTGCAGTGAAAAAGCACACTTCTCAGTAAGTTAGGAATAGAAAGAAATGTATTCGAGTTGAAAAAGTGATCCATCCTATTTAGTAGCACAATGTTAGAAGCATTCTCATTAAAGACAGGAACAAGGCAAGGCTGTATGCTTTCACCAATGTTGTTCTACATTGTTTTAGTCCTAGCCAATGTGATAAGTCAAGAAAAAGAAATAAGTATAAAGGTTATTAATAAAAGATTTCAGTCACGTAGCTAAATAAAAAATTAACATAAAAACCAATAGTTTTCCCACTCACTAGCGACATAAATTAAGTCAGTGTCATGGGCAAACAGGACCCCATTTGAAATAGCAACAAATAAACCTTTCAGTGCAAGATCTACATAAAGAAAATCACAGAACTTAACTGACTGATGGACATAAAAGACTTAGAGACACCGTGTTTCTGGATGGGAGAACTAAATATGGTAAACATATCAAGTTATATAAAATGAACCTGTTAATGCAACGCATTCTCAGTCGAGGTTCTCATAGGAGTTTCCTCTACAGAACTGGACAGACTAATTTTATACAAAGACATTTTTTGAAAAAGAGAGCAGTAATGAAAGGGAGATTTTCCCTTCCCGATATAAAGAGTCATTTTAAGGCTGAAATCATTAAAGTACTTTAATTCTGGGGCAGGAGTAGAAAATAAGCCAGTGGAACAGAAAGGAGGAGACAGTTGCAAAGCCACACATACAAGAGAACCATGATAAAAGCGCTGTTTCGAATGAGCTGAAAACATAGATTTGATGAGTGGAGAGAACAATGGGTTCGCCACTTAGAGAAGTGACAAGACAGGAAGAAAATATATGCCACACACTTCAGACAAAAGATTATCATCCAGAATATACAAAGAACATCTTTAATAAAAAATAAACAGCAAATGGGCAAAATGCAATTTCTAGAGGAAATATAGATGACCCTCAAAGTAAAGAATTAGCTCAACCCCACCGGGAATCAGGGAAACGCAATTTGGGGAAAAAAATTTTTTTCTTCGTCAAATTGGCAAAGATAAACAGAAAACTAGTGTGAGGAAAGAGGCAATCTCACGCACTGTTAGTGAGCAAAATTCTTTTTGGAAGGCAACTTTGGAAATATTTATAAAGATGTGATATATACATACTCCATGACATACAAATTCCACTTCTCAAAGCTATCCTACAGAAATTCTCACACGTGTCCCAAAGCGTATGCACTAAAGATATTCAGTATTATATAAAACAGTAAAGAATGGTAAAGAACAAAGAAACAGAAAACAACCTAAATAAGAAAGGGGTTAAGTAAAATACTGAATCGTATGTAGCCATTACAAGAATGAAGTAAACATATATGTACTTACATGGAAAGAAAAAACATCATGTGGAAAAATACCACCTATAACACAGTCACGGGGAGTAGTAGTCAGGAGTATGGAGACACTGGGGTAAGCGAGACTGGATTCAAACCCAGTTTCAGCACTATGTGGTCTTGTGATGGTGGCAATCTCACTAAACTTCAGCTTCCACATCTACGAAATGGGTAGAATAACAGCATGTACCTCAGGTAGCTGAAGAGAGGACTAGACTAGCATACTGCCTGCATCTCCTCATCAGGCCTATAAGTCGGGCCCTGTTACTACTATTCATGTCAGAGACAACGCACATGTATATACGTATATTGTTATCTTAGTGCGTCCTGCGTGGAGAGGAGATAAGGAGAATGCACATCCATCGGTTTGCTGTGAATACCTCTTCAAAGGGAGGGAAGAGTAGCGAAGGCTATAATTTCCTTTGTATTCTTCCATATCGTTTCGATTCTTTACAACAAGAATGTATTTCGTGTTGCTGCGTAATAAGAAAATAAAGACAGAGAGGAGAAAGAGTCTATGTCTCCTGGAGTCATGACATCTGGGTTTGAGTTTTTAACCCAGCCTGTCCTAGAAATATGATCCTGAGCAAATCACAAACTCTTGGAACCTCTACTGCAAAGTAGAGATGATGATGTTGACGATAATAAAAATGAACATTTTTATTGTAATTATTCTATATCAGTCACTATTCTATGTACTTCATAAATATTTAGTCATTTGTTTCATAATAACCTAATAGTGTAGGAACTACTATGATTCCCTGTTTTACAGGCGAGGAAGCTGAGGCTTAGCGAGGTTTAGTAACTTGTCTACGGTCACATGACGGGGAAGTGGTCTGGCTCTGAAGTACATGTTTTTTGTTTTTTGTTTTTTTTTAAAACAAAGTGACCCCCCACCCCCCTGGTAAGTCTAGTACCTACTTGGCACCACACATAGTTATTACCATACTACTGACTGTATTCCGCACGGAGAACATGTCATGGCTACTATATCCAGTAACCATAACCATGCAGTACTCGACTGCTCTAACTACCTCACAGTGACACTATTAGGGTAAATGATCGAATGACATTTTGAAAATGGTGTGATGCACTACAAATAATAATAGGAATAATAATAATAGGAATAACAATACAATAACCCTCTGCACAGAGATGATCCCAGTGCCATTCATAAAAAGAAGCTCGTTGGCGTGGCTTGGGATGCTGAAGAAAGCCTTTCTGAATGCTACCCTTTCCCAGTGACAGACACTGAGAAAGAACTGTCTTCTGTGAACTGTCACAGAAGGCAGATGGAAGATACAACAAGGCCCCAGGTGGCAGGGCTTTTCTCTACCAATCAGCAGCAAAAGCACTGCTAAGAACAATACCATCGTAATGCCAAGGACATCAGTCTTGACGCAGGCACTTGGTTCGTCCCACAATGCTGAACTTGTCAAGATTTCCAGTGAGCCAGAATCCAAGGGGAGTGTCACAGCCATTCAAAAGTCTTTGTTAGGTAGCAGTGCAGGCCTGGGGGGCCATGGGGCCAGGTGCTCAAAAATAAGTGAGCCCCTCCTTTGCATGCATGAGCCACCACATCTGTTTCATTTCTTCTTACACAGGCACCCATGACGGTTCACAGACAAGCCCTGTGCACAGGGCCAGGAAAAGTATCAGAGCTGAACACGGACCTGGGGTCATATGCAAACTAACTGAAAAAATGGATGTAGCTGAATCAAACTCATTTAAATTGAAGTCATCTTTAGAAGAAGGAAAAGAATTTTAGATCATAAGCAAAATAAAAGACTAAATAGTGCCCACATAAGGACAGATAATTAACACACAACTCATTGTGGATAGGAGGTTTTTGGTTATGAACTTTTAAAGCACAGTGTGAGCTTTGTTGGGACAGGTGATCTCATAAGCAGAGGTTACCGGGTACCTGGCCCCAGGCCCACACCCTGCCATTCTAGCTCTGCCTGAGCCCACGAGGCCAGATGTACCTCTGGGCATGCCTGTCATCGCTAGTCTCCATCCATCTCCATCCATCTTTGTACGCTGTTGTTTAAAAAAATTACAACCTTATTTTCTTCATTTTCACATACTCAAAAAGCACATGTTAAAGT